TTTTGGTGTTCTTATTTAGTTTATCCAGAAAAAGACAGCAGTACGAATAGCAAAACCAGATGTTATTAATAATATCTAATTAACTTCACAACTTTCCTACTGATTCAGTGCAACCCGAGAAACACAGAGTGTTGTCTTCAAACAACCAGGACAGATAGGAAGTCTCTGGGAAGAACAGATTTAAAAATTCCTGTTAACAACGGTGTCCTAAAACTACCCCTCACAGTCAGTAAAGCTACAAGTTAACCTTAAGAACTTAAGTTTCATGTAATAATCTTTCCATCATGCTGAATTTAATAGTGAGGACAAATTGCAAGTAATTTCGCACCTTAAATTTGTTCCACACAAAGAACAGCACTAATCTAGGCAGAATATAACAAAAAGCACAATGATTTTATAAGCAGTAACAAGTATTTATACTGAAAAGAAAATATTAAGGTAAAGGTTAAATAGAATGGGTGCTTTTTCTACTTGTATAAGCAGATGCTTATATTAATAAGAGTCACGTTTTATGTCAAAGATTTTAACATTACAGGCAGACCGTTTTCTAAACAGCTAAGGATTGTGAATGCTGTTTTAACCACATACTCAAGATTAAAGCTAAACATCTAAAAGTTTTGACTTTCTCTTAAATATTCTCTTTCACAATTTAAAAAACCACACTACATTAATTGTGTCCCAGCAGCCATATTTATATGTGGTACAGGAATGACTGGGATGTAGGGAGAAAGATATAAAAAGTCCCATTTACAGAAGAAACTCAGTTGTATTCTATTCATATATCATTCCCATTATACATAATATCGATGTACTTAATTAGAGCATTTGATATTAGTTATGTAAAGGGAATAACTATGATGCCCACACACCTTTTAAAAAGTAAAAAAAAAGCGCCAAACCAGTTAATATTGATACACAAAACAGCTGTGTAACACTCACTAAAGGCCCCTCTATATATTGCAGATTAAATATTGGGCTACTCCATAAACTCTTATCCTGCCAAGCCCTGCTTGCTTCCTTGAAAAGTAAATAAATAAATAATTTCTTACTGCTGTTGTGAAATCACAGAGAAATCCAAATGACTCAATACTAATATTTACATATCTGTGTTCCACTCAATTTTTTCTTTTTTTTATGTGTTGTCACAGAAAAATGCCCAATATAAGTAGTTCTTTTATAAAAATTGTAATTCTCTACTAGAATTATGTCCACTAGCACTGACAGGAGGTAACAAAAACACCTCTTTCAAAACCAAGCCTATGTTTCTGAGATAATACAAATTCAATCTATAACAAGGACATATTTTTTCCTCCCATGTATAGAAAACATGCCTGGCTATCAGGTAGTGTGACGTTTTATTTTTGTGAATTAAGCAGTCATATTAGATATTTTTAATTAACTGCAGTGCTCTTCTTTCTCAGAATGCTATTATCTGTTACCTTCAGGTGATCTAAAGGTGACTGCATCTGAAAGACATGGTCTTTTCCTACTTTGGCTATCTTATAATTAGCCAGACAAGCTTCAGTTCAAATCACTGCACTCATCTTCTTCTTGTGCCAACAACAGGAAGGCTGGACCATGAAGCCTAAGGAGAAATCATACTCTTCTATTTTGGAAGCAGGTCATACTTGGACCATTTCAAAGTGGTCACAAAAATACAGCTTCATTGTGATGTAAAGAGATATTACAGTATTCTGCTAAAATAGATCAACTTGTGTATCAGTTTTACAAAAACCTATAGAACACCTAGTCTCTGAAACTGCTTTCTCTGAATGTATTTTATGCAAAGGTAAGTTCATATAAAGCTACATTTAGTTACGTGTGCAAAGTATAATTTCAAGCAAAATCTGACATCTGTTTAAAAGCTGGGAAAAAATTTTTATCAAAAGCATAGTATTCCAGTTGCAACATCAAGAATGAGATTAATAAGGCTCATTAAATCTAGATTTACAGAAGCAGCATGTTGGCATTCTACAATTTCTAACAGTGCTATTTCTAACTGCCATTTTCAGTGCAGTAAAAGTGTCAACAATTCTGCATAGATACAGCTTCAAAATTTCCTAAACGTTTAGGAGCAGGATTACTGATAATTTAGGCAGTACAGATTTTGTTAAAAAAGTCCACTTACTTTTGAGTTTTCTTTAAAACAAAAACGTAAAACTTCACCGAAGTGTACAAACAAATATTAAACTCCTGACACTTAAGCTGTTTCACTTGACTGATGGAAATCATTCCCATCGTTTTTCAAAAAGTCAACTATGGATGTCAAGCATCCTTACAAACTCCAGCTCAAGCATTATTCAACTCAGTATTAAATTACAGTTTACATAAACACACAGCATGAAACCTTTGGAAGCTTGTGATTTGCTAAACCTCATTGTTAAAGTGTTCAGCAACAACAGCTACGAACAGCAAGACTTCTGTGCATATGTCCCCCCAGCATAAGAAAATCAACAGCATAAATATTGATTTAGAGCAAGAACATAAACTTTAAGACTTCATATGAAGTAGCACATTCACATCTGATTTCTAATGTGAGCTAAATGGCTTGCTTTTACCTTAAAAATAGCATTTAGTAAACTAGAAGGACAGCAGTATGTTTTAAAAACTTATTGCACTACTTAGTATTTCAAGTTAAAAGGATATCTTTGAAATGATAACTATGTATTGTTTGAAAATATTTTGGCACCGGCACATTCTGGAAAGAATAGCCCAAGCTTTAAGTTAATTATCCTTTTACAAGAATTGTGGTTTGAGAAAATACAACAACTTCATAAACATAATAATCTCTCAGCATAATAGCCTTTGGCAACAATGTTCCACAGCAAGTTTGGATAATCCAAGATAAACCACGACTCCCATTCTTTCTCTCTGTACTTTTGCAGTTCATATAAAAAATTCAAAAGCAAACATAAATGGTGTGTCTCAGACTGTACAAGCAAACAAAACACATTCTTCTATGAAAGCAACCCATTACATCCACCAATAATTTAATCAGTCAACAAGAGTATGTTACAGAAACTGCGATTCAATAACAAAATCTGCAAAAAACTACTTTATGTTCTAAAATACAGAAAGGGACCAAAGAAAACTTAGTCACAGGTTCAGAAGCTGTGTGAAATAATCATGATGCTACTTACGGTGCACTCTAATCCCAGATGCTCTGTCCTTTTATCTCAACCCCTTTGTCTACACTGGAAGACACCCAAGAAAAAAAAAGAAAAGAAACTTCAAAGCCACTTATCCCTGCCTAATAATATTGTAGATATTTTGAAAGTAATTTAGAATTAAGAAACATGACAATTAGCTACTGCTAAGACAAACACTGTAATTCAAATTCTGTATTTAATGATACTAGAATAAACCAAGTCAAGCACCCAAAATTCAAAATATTCCAAAAACCAAGCTTCTTCCTAACCAATTCCTAGTCCCCTTTCGTTATCAGCTCCCATTAAATTCCCTATGCTCATCCACTGCATTATCTTGCCCAGGTCCCACAACTTCAGTTTGACTCCCTCAGCCTTTAAGGCTGCTCCTCCGTATGAAGCACAGGTCCAGTTCTACATCTCAACTGGATGCATCACCTAGAATAGCCTATCATTACACTAGTAATTTGCTTATTCTAAACATGGTATCTAGTCTGATACTGTTGTATGACTTCAAGTAAATTATTTCACACTGAATATTTGAAAGATTATCAACCTAACATCCCTACGCTCCTTCATAAATTCCAACCCATATATGCTGAGAATCTGAATATGCAGATCAATCTCAATGTTATTCCCTAAATTACAGAAGGAGAAAACTGTTGGATTTCATTTAGAAGCCAATACAGCATGCTTAATAAGTGGCCTGGAAAACAATAAGAGAAGCAAGAGATTATGCAAAGCATATGTATTGATGTTACTTTCCTTGGGAAGGAGAGAAGACCTTTAATTCGCATTATTTCAGTCAGCCTATTTTTTAACATTACAATTGAGAGGACAGCAAACTGTAGTGCAGAAGGGAAAACAAACAGTTGAAAAACTTTTAAATAATACATGATGCAACCACAGCCAGATTATACTCACGTCTCACTGCTGTGGGATCACTCCCCTATTCTGCTGTGCCAGCAACCAAAAAGCCTGTACTATGCTGCAAGGAGGGCTGCTGAAAAATTCTGAAACCTGCCTAACATTATAGACTGATGCAAATTCTTCTACTGCAGCAGTCAGTGACTTTTGCAAGCAGTCCTATTGACCTAGCCTACTTCAGACAGGATCCCGAGCATGTCAACATTCCCTACCCTAACAGCCCTATACAGCAGCAACATGGATCAGTTAGCCCCAGTAGTGTAATTTGTACATTATTCTATCTAAAATGCATTAATTCTTGGCTGATGAGGTGATACCTTTTGTCTGTTATATTCACTGAACTAGGGCCAAACTGGATAGAACAAATTTGTAGAGGTATATTAACCTTAGCCATTTTTGTAACTCGCTATATACTGAAGCAATAGCCAAGTTCTTTAATCACATCTAGACTTCCTTGCTAGCCATCAGATAAGCCTAGGGAATAAGGTCTTCAGAACTCAGTCTTCTACTTACGTGATACTGTACATGACTCACTTGAGAATTTCCCTAGAAAACCATCTATAGTTGACACTTTTGAGAAGTTTAATTACATTTGCAAGTGTTTAAAATCTCTGCCAAGTCACTACTATAGTATAGCCTTAGATGCAGCACATACAGCAGCTTATTTAAGAAAAAAGGCACTAAAATGGATGGGTAAATAATGGATAATATCTGTATGAAAAATTGCAGGGCACCACATAACCCACTGGTACAATTCATTACATTACGCATAGGCATAAGGTGTGCCTGTGAATGCACATAAGGGAACATCTGCAGTTTTCTTAGAAATAAAATGAAGTTCTGGGAAGTAGCAACCACCATCACCAAGGAGCCAGCAGCTAAATTCACTACCCTCACAAGGTGCCAGCCCCCCAACAAAATCCCTACCTTATTCAGAAGACAAACACTGTACCACTCAGGAATCAGCTGCTATATTGCTGCAGTTCACATCATGGCCTCTTAAAGCAAACAAACAAAAAAATACTGTAAGGCATACTGTAAACTGATTTACAAGTAGATTATCATGCATGCACAGATGATTTTACAAAGCAAACTGTAGAAAAGGTGCCCTGCCTACCCCAAGCTATGCTGTCACTATCTTTGAGTTCAAATAAAAACCTCAAAACCTACTGACATCCATTTTAACTGTTCACCCAAGTGTAAAACAGCTGGGCAAAACTGTGCCATTCAAACAACTTAATAATATGTTTCAAGGAAGTGGGAATGATCTACTCACTGTGCATATGCATCAGCATAAAAATTTCAGGTCTCAGTAATAAAAAGCTTCTATAAAAATATTTATGAACAACCAAAACAGAGTGGAATTTGCTTCTTCTCTGTATCTCAGTTTGGAAAGAAAGTGTGACGGTATTTTAGCACAAAGCAAGTGAAACTCAAATTCTAGGTTTCTGAGATTTTCACCAAATTTCTGTTGGAACAATAGGTTTACTCCCACCAGTAGCATAAAAGATATATTCACAAATACAGATCTGAAACCCAAAGAAAGTTTAATGGTTTTTATTAGGGTTAGCCTATGACTAACTGGGCAAGTAGCTTTTAACATTAAAAAAAAAAAAAATTTACATCAAACGTTCTGGTGACAGTTTTAATTACATTTCATTCACGAGGCTTGCATTCTGAAGACAAGATCCCCTTATTCTGTCTAGTTTTATGTTCATTTTACACAGCCATATGTAACTACAAAATTTTCTACAACTACCCACCTCAAAATAGTCCATTCATAATGAAAGGTAATCAACGATGTGACTTCACTGAAGTCGTGTTTGGTATTGGAATTAATTCCTGGAAAGCCTTTACAATGAATGTAAAACAAGATCTCTCTCAGATTCCTAACAGTCAGCCCACAACATTTACTGTTTGATGTAATATGTAGAATACTTTTACTGTTCACCATACACTGCTAGCCTGCATTATTCTGTCATCTCAAGCATTCTCTGTGATATTTCCTTGCTTGTTCTGAAGTCAAAAATATAGAAGGCATTCTGAAGCTACATTTCCTTTATATAGCACACTTGAGAAATAGCATTTCATACAGAACAAATCTAAAATCTAACTATTTAAAAACCGCACTAATACACTATTCCACTTATTCCTCCTTGGCTGACAAGAAAGTTTTATATATTTCAGTATACAAGAGTTTACATTCTTTTCAGCTCCTCGGTTATGTCCAATTCTTGACAAGCTGAATGCCAGCGTTTCTATAAACTAACGACAGAGCAGAACATAAAGCTGAAAGCACCCAAGTGATGGAAGAGAGCTTAAGATTTTCTTTCTCTAAAAGAATGCACACTAGTAGTCCCTTCCCCATCCTACCCCCACCCAATAATTTTAGCTATTAATCAACAATAAAAGCTATGTTAACTTGCATAACTCCGTTAAAAGAAAAAACAAAACCCACACACATTCAGGCCACACACTTTTTTGTGAGGCACTGCATTGGAAAGCAAGATGAAGAAATACAATCTGCCTATTCTAGGCATTTTTACATCTGACAGCAGGATTAGAAAACAGGTCTTATTTCAAATATGTTTATTTTCTTTAAAAAAAATCTAGACCTGTATGTAATGAGCACTTTAAAATATGCTGAGCACAGCAGCTCATAAAAAACTGTTAGAATTTCAAAATAATTAGCTACTTAATGTGTAACATTGAAACAAATACTTAACTTTCTTTGTTCAACAGCCTAAAACTACATATTTCACGTACAACTTGAAAACTTACACTTATGATAGAACACTTCGTAATAATCCAGTGCACCTTAATGCAGTGCTCACTTTTTAAGTCAGCAATACAGCCAATCAATCTAATAGTACCACTGCAATCAGTCATCTCATCATGAATGCCAGAGCAGCTTGGCATATCACATAACAACTGGTAAATATCACTCTACTTATTAGCATAAAATATCTCATGGTAGTCAACACTTAATCATGCTACTAAGAGCTTTCCCTAGAGTAAATTACTCATCATTAAGTATTTCAGCCTGTCCCCAACACCTCAGCTGAACAGGTTTCCTCCTCTTCAGACATCTTCCTGATGACTACAAAGAAGTCACCCACCTTAAGGAGAGCTTAAACTCCAAACTGAACAGCATATGCTTCAATTAATCCCTACTTTTCCTACATATCTCACTAAGTTTTGTGACCTGTAGTTCAATGAGAAGTTAAAACACCATGCAAACTCTTGCATGAATCAGGACATCAATAAAGAGCCGCTCAAAACTGTACTCCAACTTACTTAGCCATAGGTAAGAGTATAGGAAGCTATCAGAGGTGAGGCGTGAACATAAAACTTCATTTAACTGCTTACTAATTAATTTTTTTTATACACTTGTACCTGTGAGCCTTAACACTTCACAAGTATTTAAACCTGGACACAAATCTTCACAGCTTGCCTTAGGCTGAGCCCCAGAGTAAAATGGAGGTGTTTATGTCCTTGGAGGAAGGAGACGGGGTAGGGGACAGGCTTAAGTATTAGTAAGTGTAATTGATTTCTTTTGACATGAGCAGTGAAAAATTCACAGAAACTAATAACTGATATGGTATTGGCACAAGCAAACCTTCAGAGAGGTAGTTTACTTTTTAATTTCACACTGACAATGTTAAACAGCTTTTTACTTTGATATAAAACCATTTAAAAAAACATACAATTTAAAATTATTGACATCCATTTAACAAATACAATCCTGTATTACAGCTGACATAAGAAACACAAACTCTTTAAGAGACATAATTTTAGCAGACATACATGATGTCCCCCACAACTGTGGGACCAGTTTACAGGGCCTTAACAGAACAAGGAACCCCGAAGCAGAAAGAAATAAAGATTTATTAAGCAAACTTAGCGAGACATACAAACTAAAATCATAGTAAAACAAAACACATTTGTGAAGGTCAGATGATCCACATTCACTGTAAGCACAGAAAATCCAAGACAAATAACTTGAACTTTAGATTTTGAAGGGCACTTTGCTGCCCTTTACGAGTAGAAATATTTCAAGATCCAAAGTGGCTAAGTATCTTAAAATAATAGTCATAATATACACTTAAATCCAAAGAGTCTTACAGAAACTAGAAGCTTATCTAAGTTTCTGTGTATGTTGTACCACAGAGACAAAACACTCGCTGCTCTAGATCTAAAGACCCAGAGGACAAGCTGGAGATGGTCTTCCCACCTCTGTTACAACAAAAACTTCTGGAACTTGAGGAGATAGGATGTAAGCACTGGGTAAGGAAGGTTCACCCATCTACCTGTCTACAAAAATAAGGAGAAGGAGGAAGAAAAAAATAAAAAAAAAAAACAACCAAAAAAAAAAACAGTTTGTCTGAAGCCTACATAGTACATTCCCTTTTTCCCTTCCTGTATACTTTCTTTTCTAGTCCAACAATTTTTAGGAATGAAGCACTCTCTGGGGTTGCAGGACTGATCGACTGGCATGTATTACTCAGAATTTCTCTAAATATAGCCACAACAATGTTATAATATTACTAAAAGAATACCACAAAGTTCAAGTTTGGAGAACAATTTATTGGATAATATTGTATTTAATATTAGCTTGTTCATTACTTTTTAAGATCCAAAATGTCTTAAACAAATGCCTTCTAATAGCAAAGATTAACATAATATTCTTCCTAGCAAAATTGCAAGTGCAGAGGAAGCTCTCAGGAACTGAATACCACCATTCAGAACGTAAACAGTAAATTAAGAAAGAGACACCTATTAGAAGGTAAGTAGGCATTCACATTCACACAGAGCATCCAAGCATTGCTAATTTAATGCTTTTAGGAACCTTAAAGTAAGGGCCAATTATTTAAGAATTTAAGACTACTTCCAGTCTAGCTGCACAAACATGGTACAGACCTATATGAAACATCCAGCTTACGTTAGTATTAACATCTGTACACCTAAAAGAATCAACACCAAAACTACTTTTGCTCTTGTCCTTTAACATTTATGGCAATACAAATTCCTGAGTTACACATACAGTGCACTCTCAAATTCAAGGCATGAAAGTAGATTTTGAGAGACTGAAACACAAGGGCAAGCTGCCATGACCCAGAAGAAGTTCAGGATGATTTAACTGTGCTATCCCAAAACATTTCTAATGACAGGCACAGCAAGCTATATGTTAATTATTTTAGCTATTATAATTGTTTTACTTTTTCACTGCACTACCAGCCAAAAGCATTCAAAACACAAGCCACAAAAACCTTGTGACCTAAAGTTTCATGAGACATGAAAAAAATATTTAAGAGCCACTTGGCTTTCCTTATTTAAAGAGAAAAAAAAAAAGTATTACCTCTGTTAATATTAGCTTTTATTCTGCAATAAGTCAAGTACAGGACATGGCACTTAGTACTACTTTTAGTGCCAGTTTACTCAAATTTGTATAGCGTTTAAATAAAAGCTGCAGATTACATCTGATTTGCCTCAGTAAAGAAACCTGCCAAGTGCAGAAAAAAATATTTACTAACTGAAATCACATACGATAATAAAAGTCCACAAAATCTGACACTGCACTCTCACAACAGAGTTTAAAGCATACCACCAGTGCTCTTTGCTTACTCCAGAGTAAGAAGTATAGTCATCGGACAAGTGAACCAGTTTGGAAGATTTACAGCAACATACATTTCACAGGTCTCTGTAAGGAAAGATCCAAAGGTAACAGCATCCCTGTAGTTTTGGTACATCAAAAAGTACTTCATCTGTATAAGCAGAGACAGAACAGGACACTGTAATACCCATGAAGAAAAGCCAGAGGTGCAGTCATTTTCTCCTGTAGTAGCATTAACATATATAACATACAATTATACTCAAGTTTCCTAATCAAAGTGAAGAATATGACATGAAATGTAAGTAAAGATATGGGGGGAGGAGAAAGGGATCAAATACAGATCTGAACGCCTAAAGTAGCAGGGGGAAAGAATATGATGCAGAAATGAAAGATGATGAGATGCAGGCCTTTGAATTCAAAGACAATGAGCTTTAGATAGCAGTCAGACTACTGAAACATGGTACCAGCTGTATTTTAAACAGATTGCAGAGACAAGAATATCAGCAGAAGAGGGAGGAGGCACTTGAAGTACTCCAGATACGGGCCTCAGCTTCACTTGTAAAGACAGAAAAAGAAAACGTGGTCTTGAAAATGTTGTTTGGACAAGGAAGAAGAAGGATATGAATAAAACATGACTGTGGATTCAAGGGAAAAAAGAGGGCTACTCCCAAACAACTGCCCTGGGCAAGAGAGGATTATATCACTGTCAGCAGCATTGCAAATGGCAAGCAAATGATTTAAGTTTGAGAGAGATGATAATGAGCTCCCAGACATGCTTATGATAATAAAAAACATTGCAAGGACTGAATGAAGGCACATAGAGCCACGAAACTCAATAAAGAAATGCACTAACCTCAATAAAGGAGATAGCATGCCAGATTTCTATGAAGGCTGAACAGCTCAAGATTAGTGGGAAGAAGTTACAAAAGAAGAAAGATTCTTGCAGAAAGCAGTACCACAGATGCCAAAGAGGGACAGGCTGTGACAGACAGGCAAGCTTCCCTATGTCCTACCTCTTACTCTCACAAAGCTAAAGCAACTTAGTGATATGCTTTATAAAAAGCACAACTAGACTTTAAAAATGTAAATAAATTTTTTATTGCATTATGACATCACCTGACAAATGCATAACAACCACTTTCAATTACAATTATTTTGGTGATTAAGTAGCAAGAGCGTATTTCATTTAAACTACAATGACGTATTTTAATCAGTGCCTGAGTTACTGAAAAATACAGAGAGCTACAAAGAAAGGAGTATTGCACCCTCTACTTCTAATGGCTGTCTGAAAAGGCTAAACTTGCTGAGTGACATCAAGAGGAAAAAAACAAAACAGTCACCTTGTGCTCCAGGAAGATTTTTTTAAAAGAAAAATAACAACGATTTTGCTTTAAAGGAGTAATTCAAAGAGATAAAAAAAAAAAAAAAAAAAAAATCAGTACAACAAACTAAGATGTCAGAAGAATCTTAACACACTTCTCTGAAGAAGTAGCCCTCCCTGTATTTGCTTGGTATCTTAATTTGCCTTTGGCTTCAAAACTCTAGGCTTGCCAAGAGCTATTCCTTTCAAAACCTCAGGAATTCCATTACTAGTTTTAAGCTAAATTAAAGGAAAATAGAAGCATTCAACGCATGGCAAAAGTATGCACAAAGTGTTTGTTGATACTCATAAATAGACTGAAAAATTTAGACATGTCTGAAGGATAACTGCTGCACAGCCAGCTCTGTTTTGCTCTACTGTGCAGCTAAGCAAAAAGCTACTGCTGTCATTTCAGTAAAGCTCAGCAAGAGCTAGATACATTGCTATCCAGATTGAACATAGCACTAGATCCTTCATTTTTTATATATTGGTATATATAAGTTTATATATACCAATGTTTGCATTTCTGCAGGGGAAAAAATAAATAGCTCCAGTTTCCCTGTTAAAGCTACTATTTCAACATCTCCATTTGGGAAAAAGACGTCACTGTCCTAAGGCATGGCAAAACCTGTCAAGTCTCCACCCTGTCAAGCATCTTGCAAGTCATGAAATAAAGACATTCCACCTCAGAAATGCATCTAATATTGTGCTGATATCTTTCCAGTGTTCTCTTAATGGGTCCCTTCCAACTCGCCATGTTCTATGATTCTAAACAAGCAGTATTACTATCATTTTTACTAAGTTATGGTAAGAATGAAATGCCCCCACCTGCATATTGTGCCACTGTCACACTAACACACGAGAAGATAATACCCCCCTTGCAAAGCATTTCAGAAAAAGTTTGCTTGAAAGACAAATATTTATTTGTGTCAAGGTGAGTAATCCCAGCAGGCAAGAACTACTATGAACTACTATGCAGTTTAACTTCTTTGGCAGCAGTCACAGGAAAACAGTGGAAATATCAGCACATCAGTTTAAACTGCAGTTCCGGTGAGACAGAGAGATCAAGGTTCTGTATCTTCCATTAGAAACACAGGAATCCAGGTACCACCATATGCCAACGTCTATTTTACCCTTTAAAAGGGAGGCAATTAAAGCAACTTTTCACCATTGAGTCAGTAACGGATCAGTGGTTTACAGTAACCATTACCACTATATGAATGGCAGCAGGAGCATCTCAACCCTGCCAGGACCAAAATCACTATGACAAAAAGCCAAAGGAACAAGGGTGCTCTTCAGACTAATAAAACAGTGCCCCAGTCTCTCCTGAGTTTGGAGTACAGTTCAGGAAAGCTACCACTATCTCAGATATACCCTACAGTTCTCAGCTTTTACTGCAAGCTGAGATAATTCATACAGTATTTCTGAATCAGATTTTCCTCAACAGAAAACGTAACAGACGCACAAAATCACAGAATGGTTTGGGTTGGAAGGGACCTTAAAGATCATCCAGTTCCAACCTCCTGCCATGGGCAGGGACACCTTCCACTAGAGCAGGTTGCTCAAAGCCCAGTCCAACCTGGCCTTGAACACTGCCAGGGATGGGGCATTCACAGCTTCTCTGGGCAATCTGTGCCAGTGTCTCACCACCCTCACAGTGAATAACTTCTTCATAATGTCTAACCTAAATCTCTCCTCTGTCAGTTTAAAGCTATTCCCCATTGTCCTGTCACTACAAGCCCTTGTAAAAAGTCCCTCTCCAGATTTCTTATAGGCCCTTTTAAGTACTGGGAGGCTGCTCTTAGGTCTCCCTGGAGCCTTCT